AGTGTGTACTTCTCAACAACTGCTTGTTTTTACGGTAAACAGTGCCCTCTACAGAACCCACCGGCTTGACCTCCAGGTACGAAGACGGGACAGAGCTCCATATTTCGTGGAACCCCATCCCATGCGGCCAACGAGGCGGTGCCATTACCGGCTATTCCTACATCCTCCTGGATGTGACAACAGACCAAGTGACCCACAGCGATCATACCAGCGAAACCAGCGTAGTTTTCCCCACATTATCTGGCCTCAGGCGCTACAAGTTCCTGGTGGCCGCTACGACTGCGGTGGGACGCGGACCATACGCTACCTACACAGTGGACGCCCAACCCAAGCTCAATGAGAGTAAGTCCCGATAATCGGGAAATTTTGACTTGACAATGGGTCCAGCACAAGCAGTCATTTGCAACGTTTTGGTTACCATCTTAAATTATTCAGAAAAAGGCAATACAAATACAAAAGCCCAAATCAAGTCATGGTCATCTCTTCCTCTTAGAGCAAACGATTACCTTGTCTCTGTAAGGATTCTCATAATTATGTTCTGTCCTCACAAACTTCACGGTCTGCAACTCCCTAAGGAACACGCATAGAGCTTAACACCGTTCATCCGTAAAACATGGGAAAGATATATGACTCCAAGAAAAGCCTTCCAAAATGAACAAAGGAGCGCTGTTGAAAAAAATAAAGAAACCGAAGAAATGCAAGTTGTCCATCCGATACAGTGCCAAAAAGAAGTGACTAGCAGGGATTCTGGGTCATTGAATTAAGGCTTCTTCACTTTGATGCTTTCGCATAGCTGAGGATTTAAAGCCTATTGAACAGGTGTAGGGAACCCGCGAAAATGGCTGGCGCAGATGCAGTCGTAAACCCTGTACATAATTATTAAGTTTCTATCGGCAAACGCTTTTCTGGAAGTATCAAGAATTAGAACCAGACTAACTTAGTCTTTTACCGTTGTAGCTGTACTGCGGACATATGCAGCAAGGTATGAGACGGAGAGAACCCCCCCCCCGCTTTGTGTTTGTCATTGTCTCGCAGGAATCTGGGGAATTCCTTTCAGACATCTTGGGGGATGTGTTAAGTAACAATAGTCTGGAATGTGTATAGGGATTGGACATGTTGGGGGGTACCCCTCAGTCTCATTTCTTGCTGGGTATAACTGCGGAAGGGTCGCATTGTATATAAAAGGGTTCTCCCTATGGAAACGAATGGACAATCCACCAGTGCAAAATTCACTCATTTTGCAATCTACAGAAATGCCCGATTTGACAAGCATTCCACACAATGGCAAAGAGGTTTAGTTGATTTTATTCATTTCTCTTGAACAAAATATCCACATGAATTACTATCAAAATAACAGAAATGATATGAGGATTACAGATAAAAAGCAAATACTTGTACAAGACCTGGAACCTATTTCTAATTATTTGAATAATGGGCTATTACCGGTATGTATGACAAGATCAGAAACACAATAAATTATCCATGTTTACACCAATAGGCCTAGTCCTGTTTTATATTAACTAAATAAATATCTACGATAAGGGATGGGGGTTAGGTAGATATATCTGCATAATTAACTTATGACCGATGTTCCCTTTGGTTTCTTTTAGTTTGCGGTATTACGGCGCCGCTAGACATAAGAGACACCATTCAGAAGATCACGAGTGGCACAGACGCCCGTAAAGGCTCTGCCCCCTGGCTTGCACAACTGTGGTACGTCGACAAGGGAACCCTCTTCTGTCATGGGTCCATCCTGGACAACCGCTGGATCTTGACGGCTGCACACTGCATCCGGGTTCGCAATGCCACCAAAAACGACATCATGATCCGGCTGGGCGATTACGACAAGAGTTTACCAGAGACAGAGGAGCAAGTCTATCGGGTGGAGGACATCAAGGTACACCAGGTTTTCAATACAAGATTGTTTGATGCCGATGTGGCCCTCATCAAACTCGTACAGGCGATCCAGTTCACTGACCATGTCAGGCCTATATGCTTACCCGCAAAGTCGGTATCCAAATCTATGCTCAAGGTTGGCACGTACGGGGTGGTGTCCGGCTGGGGAAAGGTCTCCAGCGGCGACGAGGACTATCCCCGCCACCTCAAGCGAGTCATCCTTCCTGTCCAGAGCCAGGTCACCTGTCGACGCTCGACAATTTACGATGTGACCCCCAACATGTTCTGCGCTGGTTACAGTGCAGCGGGTAAGGGGGATTCCTGTGAAGGGGACAGTGGGGCCCCATTTGCGGTCCAACGCTTGAACTCTAATAAATGGTACATTATAGGAGTGGTAAGTTGGGGTGAGGGGTGCGACATAAAAGACAAATATGGGTTCTATGTGCGCCTCCACCGATACACAGCGTGGATTCGAAAGCATACGGGAATCAAATTGAGCTAGTCATAGAGTGTCTTGACATTTTGTTGTGACCTATGCACAGCTTTGACTCCTGCTCTTTTGAATTCGACTTCAGTATGTAAATGTAGCCATATCATTACTCCAAAGCTTTACCAGAATATCAGTTTCAAATGCGACGTTACACGCAGTAGCTGCCTTGCGCTGTAGTTGTGTAATTAGATTAAAAATGTGCGCTTAAATTCAAAATGTGTAACAGCTATGTAGTCCGCTAAATAGCAATTTCGAAATGATGATAATCTATTTAATTTCTACTGGCCATTTTTGTTGGTCTACAGTTTTTTTTTCGTTTAATGGTGCTGTTGTGCTTGAGCACACGAAAAGACTATAAATAGAAGGTCTGTTGTTAGTCTCAAATTTCTGCTTGGGGCCGGATGCAAAAGTGTGGGCATTATTTCCCGCCAATTATTTACACTAAGGTGCCTGTTCTGTATGCGTGAGAAAGTTTCACTTCATGTTAATAATCAGGAACTGTGGATTACAAAACTGAAAGCAGAAGTTTAGAGTCTTACTCGGCGATTTAGCCTAAATAGAGAGCGGACAAACTCTATACCAAGTTGAATACAATATGCTGTGACTGATTTGAAGCACTGTAGTCACAGTTTCGTTTTTTTAGACAAACTTTCTCCGTGATTACATTACCGCGTGACTTGCAACTGATTTTATCCAAGGGTAATTACTAATCGAATCAGTTGACCGAGACATGTTAAATAACAATTACGTGAACTTATAACATACCATGATTATTGAAATGGTCACCATTGGATATCGAGTTTCACTGTATGTGCATCTGCCAAAAGAAGTGTATTTTCCCAATCATGCAGAACAGTCTCGCCGTTTGTTCACGTGAATGAACATTCAGTTGTCTCAACACAGAACTATTTTATATGCGGAATACATGCTCTCAGATAAGGTTTAATTTAGCACTACTATGCTTTGAATGGAAAGAAGTAGTGGTACAATATATGTATGCATTTCGCTTGGACCGTAAAGGGATTGCTGTTTTTCTAGTGCAGTTTTGCTCGGTTTCAACGTGGAAATTCCATGTAATAACAACTGGCCTGAGCCTGAGATAACTCGGTCAACGAATCTTGGACTGTTGGATTGCACTTCTATAGTTTGGATAAGTGCAGCGTAGCGTACTACTGTAATAGTGAAGTTTCGTAGCCTCAATGGTCACCATCATAGCAGAGGGTAAAAAAGGGTTCCCTAATAGCTTTTTTGTTGTGTTTGGTTGTTTTTCCTAGCTTGCTTTTGCACAAAAGTGGGCACTCCATTTACATTCCTCAGCCACACGTCAATGGGGAGAGCGATTGGTTACACGATGTTAATGCATGTAACATGTTGACAGAGTCAGTGCTTCGTGTAATGGCTTTTCAAGTTGAAAGGTTTATTTTAGGAATTTTTTTTATTGTTTTGTAGAAGCCTTAAGTTATTTCTTGCCAAATGATCCGGTTTCTCTATAGAATATATTTTTAAAAGGTGTTTTCGTAGCTTTACCTTAATTGCTTAGAAAGTGTTTTGCCTCAATGTTTTGCCTTGACGATAGCTGTGATAAGCGTTCCTTGACTCACAATTATGTGTTAAGCGTAACTAAATCGATACCATTCACGTTTTTTCGGAACAGCCATTCCTGCTTTTTGCACCTTTATGTAGAACTGTCGCTCATAAGAGCGCCATTATACTCAAAACGTCACGTATCTTCGTTTGAAGAGGAACAAGTTCAGCGTTTGTAAGCGCTGCCCTTTGCAGTTGCATTATTTGTCCGCACTGTTGAGTATTTTAGGCATGACGCTGACACGTCCACCGCCCACGTTTGTAAACGACAAGTGCACTGCGTTGCTTGATTAATGTTGTACCTCGTTGATTGGAAATCGACAGGCAATATTTTAAAGGCTGTAAAATGAAGACTATCCTGACTCACAGGGCATGATAGTGGATAAGAAAGTCATATTAGACTTTGTTGTTAATAACAAATATACGCCTGAAAGTGCCTCAAGGCCCGCATAAACGTAAGAATAGGATATTTTTTTAATCAAAATTAAATTAAGTTGAATCTCTTATTGACGCATGTCATCTTTTGAATGCCTTTGAATAGTGACATTACATTCAAACCAAGTGCAATAATCGTCTGCTACTGGCACAACCGAAGCAGAAAAAATCTTTCGTTTTCAACTTTATAGGTTAATCTTCAAATTCTAAATATTAAAATGTTCACTGTAGGGAGGATGAACTGTATTTATTTCCGGAGTACGCAAAGGCATGCTATTAAGTGATTAAACGTTGATTGATTTGATGTAGGCCTATGTTATTTTATTAAAAATTGTATTGGCGGACAAAATTTAGATGCTACATGGCTATAGACTTTAGTTGCAACATTTTGTTCATTTAAAATTTTAACTTTAGGTAAATTTTTAAAACAAAAAGTAGTTCAATAAATTGAAATAGTTATTAGCTTTTCTATTTACACTCTTGTTCAACAATGTAAAATATTTATCTTATTATATTTTTGTGTATATAGTGTACATACTATGCAATTTATAATTTATTTTGTGCACGTTAATGAAATAAGCCTATCGATAATGTTGTCAGAGACATGACTTTTCCCCAGAAAAGAATTAAATGTCATCCTCGAATTTTGATACGAAATATATGTTTATAACCTGCACCGTCATTTTTGATGTTTATTGTTCACCCTCGTGGGGATGCAATTGATAGTAATGCCTTGCACTATTACAACGGAGAATCAATTCCAGATCATTCATACTACCGTTATCTGTTTCAAGAGGCCGACAATTTGCACAAAGGCTTGGAACAACCTGAAACTAAAAAGAAATTTCCACCACCTTTTTTGTGTTGCCTGCTACAATTTGTATCTTCTGTACTTAAATAAGTCCAAGATCAGTAGCGTAACTAATTAGGGGCAATGGGGGGGGGTCCTACAAGGCTCCGCCTCTTCCTCATCCCCAGTCTCCAGCTTATGACCGAACATGGCCGAACCCACAGCTAAAACTGCATTCCAACATTTATTCGAGGTTTTAACAACTTTTACAAGAGACGAAATAAAATAATTATCTGTTCAGTGTTTCATGTGGAATCGGGGCTACGGGATGCACTATGAATATAATCCTAGCTCACTCAACTCCAACAAAGGACTTCCTCTCAGACAAAATTGATATCGGCCTAAACGGTCACTGAATGGTGAATTCTTTTTCACTTATTGAAAAGCATTGTTTACTGTTTTTAAAAGGTAAACGTATTTTGGCGCCTTTGCCCCAACAATTCATGAGATAAACTATAATGTAATTCCGGGAAGAAAAACTCCATATTGCGTTGGGTATAGAGCACAAAACTGCTGAAATGTTTGGTATTTTGTAGCCCACACTTTTTTCTTCGGTGATTTATTGCTGTGTAATTGCATGGCAATATAGGCGGCCGAGCTACCCTTTCTCAGAAATGTCTTCAATGTTGGCAAATTTGAGGTTCACGGTTTGAACAAAACAGTGCCTTCTCCGATTGAGATCACGGCAACAGCGCCCTCAGTTATCCTTAGTAGCTCTGACAATTTTAAATTTTCAATATGTTTCAGTACACCTTAACTCAAAAGTTTCCATATATTAAAGAGGGGTACATAAAGATGCATTGTAAACTTCATCTCAGGAACCTTTATGTTTAAGTCACCTTGTCAGATATAAACCGCGTTCCCTCAAGGTATTTAAGTTTATTGGCGTGTCGAAGAAGTGTCCATTCCTTTGCTCAAGATCAGCAGCCGACATTTTTCAAGATTTTTTCTAGAGTACATGTACTTGTCAAAGTATAACCTCAAATTATTGTAAGAAGCTATTCTCCTGACACATTGTACAGTTGAAGTTTTAAAAAAATGAAAATTGTAAAGAGAATTGCATTTAGAATGTTTGCATTGTACAACGCCTGTGGGGAATTAAGAAAATTTTTAAAAGAACCACCACAAGTTTATGATGTTTCGCAATGTCAAACTGCACGACACGAACAAGAATAACAAAAGTCAGAAAAGTGGAAGGCTTCTATAAGATCAATTAAATGCACTTCTCCAAAAAGTCACACGTCAGACCCCAAATTTATAGAACGATCCAAATGCCAATTGAACAGGTCCTCAGCTAGCCCTTCCCCATGAAACTGGTTACACAGGAAGAGTCGCGCAAACTCTGTTCTTTACTTGCGCCTGTACCGTTTGTCCCATCCATTGTTAATCGCAATGCGTGAAACTTCACCATTCAGTCTTAAATCGACATTTGCCAACAGCCATATTTGATGGACATAGAAATAGAATTATTCTGTCATGACTAATATTTTGTGGAAATTATTATATGAAAATAACCATGTCTAGATTGAGTGTTTGAAAACCACTGCTAAATCACATTTACGTCTGTTGTTTAGTGTTCATCGTCATTGTTGCAACGAAGGAAGGAAAAAGCACGTTTTCGCTATAATCGCAAAAAAAGCTAATCATGTTTCTAAACTGCAGCACTTCCAAGAAGTACAGGTGTTCAACAATACTCCGCAATCCAAAAACTTCGAAAGCTGAACATTAATGATACTCCAGTATATATAGCCACACAGTCAACACACCAGTTATCTGTGGAAATCGATTAATACAGATGGTAATTCCTTCGTGAAAACGAAAATCCATGTGACCTGTCAGCTTTATGCGTGTTTTGTCAAAGGAATACCACTATGTGAAAATACTAAATTTCAGTTTTCCTTTTAACACCCTTCATGCCTTTGGGATGTATGAACGTTCATGTTTGTGTCCTTCGTGAAAACCCCAAATCCAGTTTTCAGAGATGCCTGCATTTCACATCATGGACGAACGGCAGAACGATGTTTTAAAGTACAATAATACCTGTCCTTTCGTGAAAACGGTGATGCAGTGTGGAAACTGCTATTTGTTTGGGGGGGGGGTCAAAGCTAATCACCTTGGTTGACGTCAGTGTCCTTCCACACAATTTAGTAACAAAACCGCAGGGGTAAATGATTTAACCACTTCTTTATCGTTTAGCCAATGGGGGTCTTTATTGCACAAACCAAGGCTTGTATCTAATCCGTTTCTTTAGAACATGCGCAGACTAAAAACCACTTCCAGCTTGGGCGTAGTCGCGTTTTGGGAAATTGTCGGAAAGGGGAAGAGTAGTTAGAGCTACAAATAAATTCACAATTATGCACGCATGCGCACAAATGGCAACAACTAGATACCATTTCTTTCGGTAGTACTTTAAGCTATTACCAAGTTCAATGTTAAGCTATGTGCGTACAGTACACATTACACTGAATATAAGTAAGTGTTTTTACAAATGCACAGGTTGGCTCCAAGAACACTTACAATGTAATTTATACTACTTATGATGGAAGGGGGCCACACTAAGAAACGGCGATCTCGTGCGCACAGGAAAAGCGATAATAAAGTCTTTTTAGAGAGCGCTAAAAATTCCACTTAAATTAGGAACTAATGGCAAACACGATTTAATGGAATTTTCTGAAGAAAAAAACGAATAAAGCTCGAAAACCTGAGAGAAAATGATCATCAAAGTCGCACCCCTGTTCATTTTCAATGACCCGCTACACTTCTTGCCACAAAAGCCATTTGTGCGCAAGCGTGCACAATTGTGATTTTATCAAGAGTGAAGAGGTCTATTCGGCTTTGGTGAACAGCGTTTGTCACTGTGACGTACTGCAAACCCGCAAATACACAACCCTGCGTCATTCCGTTTTGATTTACGCACACAAACAACGATTCCGTTAGAGCCTGTAGTATGGGGAGGGGGAGGGATGGAGTAATTTAGGGTAGTCGTGTGGATGGTCACTACCGACGTTGACATCGATTTGATGTATGGACGACAGTCAGCAACTGTCAAGCACATCTTTAAAAATAAATCGGTCTAACCATGGTCATCTGACGCTGATGGGACAACGAAGGTCACATAGGCCTACTTTTTTCTGCATACCCACAAGTGCAGATGAACAATTATGATATATCCGGCCACGTTGCGATCTTAGGTACGCCAAGGCCCTCGACCCCAGATGTCAGTATAGGCCTATAGGTGACCTTAGAAAGGTACACCTCACTGGTGTACCTGGTGCACCTGTACCTAATTTCTTGTTTAAAACTTTTTTACGTGACTAACAAACACCATGCAAACGTCAAAATCGACATGATGTCCCAACTTTTTGGTCAATGTCAAGATTTTGCTTTAATGTGGTTGTGATAATATGGAAACACACAACACCACTGGACATATCACAGTCCTGTTTTGTTGAAGAAGGTATGGTGTAAGTTGATAGACATAATTCAAAACTGACATACGTTGGTAACAAGTCATAATGTGCAAATCCAAGTCATGTCGTAAGTCAAAAGTGGCGGTTACAAGTCAAGTTACGAGTCACAAAAATAGCGAGTTAAGTCCGACTCGAATCTAAGCCAAGTGACTCGAGTCTGACAACTCTGCCAAGTTTGAAACAAAATTTTGTTTTACAGTTTTGACAAGACAATTGCAACGATGCGTCATGCATGGGACAGCATGGGAAGCGTAACGTGATTTTGATGTCTCATCTATAAGGCCGTGACCTTGGAGATTTCTGTACAAAACGAGCTGGTCATTTCTTTTTGGTGATACGGACAGAGAGAAGCGATGGATGAGGGTCTAGTTCCTGTGCAGACAAGAGTACAATACACTGAGTCAAAAAGGAAGTGTATTCCTACAACTAAAGAGCTCAATAGAATTATTGCACTGCGCGTTTTTCCAGTAGTTCCTTGCCATGTTAAAGCCACATCCCACCGGGGGCATTTATGAATGTCGATTCTCCTTGGATGATGGGATTTTTTTTTCATTTTTTTCTGTTTTCAAAATTCTTTAACATTCTTATCTTCATTTACCGGACACTTACACCCACACGAAGGACTGTCTGGTTTCTACTCTATTCCGACAGACAACATCTATTGACGCTGGAGTATTCAGCCAGCCTCCTGGCAGCAAGTGGTTTTAAAGGCACTATTACCTGAGAGCCAACTGCAAGACGTCTATAGTCCTGTGCACTATTCTGGAGCAAAATACAAGTTATGGCGGGCAATTTTCTTCAAGGCTTATCATAGAGGAGGGGGCACTTCTCAAAAAGTAACAAGACCTCAGACCAGAAATTTGCCTGACACGCAGCCCGTGTCTCTTTAATTCTGATGTAAGTTTCAGCGACGGAACTCAATTTGTAATTCCAACTTTTCAATAAATACAGGCAGTGCAGTCGTTTTGATGACCCATTTAAGGCAGTCATACCAGTTAATTCGATAGAGTGGTGTGTGGAAAGTGTCAAGCGGCGGTAAGATCAAGGTCACAAATTTAAGGGGTCAGCCAAGGATTTCCTGCACCCATGATATTTGAAAAAAAATTTCCTGTATCATAATTGAAGAACTTGTTATCTCCAAGAAATGTCACTTTGGGGGATATTGTATGTCAGCTTCCATTGCATCTACAAAACAGAAGTCGAGGTTAGAATTTTTTCATATAAGACAGTTTCTACGAGATGTATGTTAGGAAAATATGTTTTCTTTTCCCCCATGAGCGGTACAACTGTTCCTGCAAGCATGGTGGTTTAGAATGTGGCTTTGTATTCTT